TTATTTATTTTATGTATTTATTTATTAATTAATATTTGTTTTTATATTTTTAATAAAATATTAAAAAGGAAACGACTTACATAATAAGTGTTCGTTAAATGCAATGTTAAGTTGATCTGGACTAAGCCACCGTATTAGCGCTCCAAAACAACCAGCTATAGCGTTTCTTGTAACATCTTCTGGATGACCAAGCATACTAGTTAAAGTAGTAAAAAATTGTTTTTTCATTGGTTCTGTCATTTTGTCACCAGCAGGTGTAAGCACTCCTCGTAAAGCTTGTAACATTGTTTCTCTAAATAAAACAATATATACATTGTTAATGAATTAATCATTACGAATATATAAGTTATATGAGATATGCTCATTATTTTACTTTACCTAATGGCTGGATCATCACCAGCTTTTATGCCAAAGTGAAGTTCAGTAAATAATGGATCAACACGAGTATGAATTACAATGAGATTACTTAAAGCATAAGCAGCTTTTAATCTGACTTGTCTATTACTATCATTCAATGCTCTCAAGAAAGTGGTTTGTAATTGTGGTAAAAATTGTTTTAGCATTACCCTAACCTGATGAGAATATTCAGTTATTACGTACTTGTGTTTTTAAATATTGCATTTATATTATACTCATTAGTTTTTCTTACTTTGCCAAGTAAAATTGCAAGCGTTTCTAAAACTGCTGCTTTAACGCTCCAGTTAAAACGATCACCGAGAATCCGAATCAACGGTCCAGTAATATGAACGACACTTGGTTGTAACGCTGAAGCGCTGGTTAATTTTATAACTTCTCCAAGTCCTTGAGCTGCTTGCTCTTTTGCTTCTGGTAAACCATTTAATATAGCTTCCCTGAATATCGGAAGAATGGGTGTAATTCCCTTTGGTAAACAGAATCCTGGTAATAATTCTTGCCCCTTTAAATCGGATACTGCAAATCGAACAGCTTGTCTAATATCTTGTACATGTGCAATTTGTTGATCAGATGCCAGAGTCTACAAATAAAATTAATATATCAATCTTAAGTATATTAATTGAAAATTATATCTACGATAAACACAATTACACCTGTCCCCCGATTTACACGGATGATCGGTTCCTCAGAATACCGTGTAAATCGAAATCATGGCTTTCTGTATGAAAAACCGTGTAAATCGGGGAAAAAACAAAATGCGCATAATTTAGTCAGTGATTTAATTAAATTCATTATTTTAAATGTAAAATAAAAATAAGATAAAAATGAAAAACAAAAAATATTCAGGGTCAGGGTTTAGTTTCGAGCGAGCGATCGACGAAGGCGAAAATAGCCGGTCGCCAATGAAAGATCCGCGGCGGCGGCAAACTTTACGTTACAATATGAATGCTTTTTGTGTGCAAAAATGGGGAAAATTCCGTTCATTTTTTGGTTTAACGCCAGTGTCAACAAACGAACGGTGCTAAAAAATGACTGTACAAATATGTGCGCAGCATAAACTTTTATTTTTAACAGTTTATATTTCTGAAAAGCCGTTATTTTGAAAACCGTGTAAAAGTGAAATCGTGTAAATAAAGTACCGTGTAAATCGGGGGATAGGTGTATGTGGTAATAACACCATATAATATTAGTAACTAAAGCAATTAAATCTTTAGAATAGAAATAGTCTTACTTTTGTAACTGCTGTAAGAGCTTCCCAACTCATTTGTAGTACATCCTTATCATCATCCGTAAATAAATGAATGAGTCCTCGCAATAACTGGGGAACGTATTGACTATAATCTGCACGAGTATCCCGACAAAAAGCACATAACAAAGTCGCAGCGCTTCGACGTCTAGATGGATCGTCAGCTCTTGTAGCTTCCATAAGCTGATCCATAACTGTTCTAATGCCAACTTCGTCAGTAACAGATAAAATAACCGCTTGGCAATATTCTAATTCCTGAACTTCATTTGGTGTTCCTTGAGCACTAGAAAGAGCAGTCAACAAAGCTGGTAGAATTTTATGAAGGAACCTCGTTAACGCCTCGCCCGCTACACTGGCCAAGATTGATAATGCTTTTGTATTAACAGGAGGAGTTGTTAATTGAGGTACTAAATATGGTAGAACAACTCGAGATTTGATTGCCATTACTTGGCGTAAACCATCTAAGGTATTTTCTGCTTCTGCTGGATCCGGTGAATTTAATTGTGTTAACATTGCTGGTAATATATCATCTAATGCTCTAACTCCGACAGTTGAATGTAAGCCATCGAAAGTTTTTGCTGCTGCTTGTCTGACTTCTGGTAATGGGTCACACAATGCTTTCCTAAAAATAAATAAATCAAAATAATTTTTATATTTGTTTAATTGTCATCTTGTATTTTAATGCTTATTAAGTGTAAAAATAAACTTACCTCACTGTTGGAACTAGACTGATTACAAAAGTTATCACCATATCCTTATTTGTGCTTGTCATAATTTCTGATAAACCAATACATACACCTTGCCGTTGATCAGCTTGATCACTTTGCAAACCTTTTTCCAAAATAGGTATAATTTCTGGTAACACCCTTTCACCTAATTTTCTAACCAGATCTCCTAAAGTTCTTGCTGCTACTTGTCTTTTATCGTTGCTTGTACTAGCTAAACAACCGAGTAATAAGGTAAACAATGTCGGTAATATTTCTCTTAATGTTCTCGGTGTATTTGTTACAACAACTTTCCATACATGAAGAGCTGCTTGGCGTACCATCAATGCAACATCTGATCTACCCATATATAATCCAGCTAAAACACGATTTCGCCTTTCAGCGCCAAGTGCATTAATAATGGCATAGTGAGACTGCTCGGTCCCAAAATTATCATCTTCACTGGCAGTTTCTGTTGACATTTTTCCCGAAACACCAGAAATTCGATATAATAAATCTCCAAGTAATTGTACTGAGGAATATCTAATACGCCAATTGTCATCAAAGAGACTCTTTTCCAATTCTGGTAACAGTAACATGATTGCAGAATCAGCGTAAAGATTAACGATACGCTGACCTGCTCTGAGTGCTGTTTCACGGACGTATTCATTCTCATCAGCCAAAGCTTTCAAAATGGGATTGATAATCTGTCCAATATAAGGTGTAAATTCTGTAGTAAATGCACTTGGCATATAAATAAACATCATAATATAACCATCTTTAACATGAGGAGCTATGTCAGTCCTTTCAGCTGTACTGATAATCTCGGGCATAAGTTTATGAAGTTTTTCAACACCCAATCCTCTCACAACTTCTGAAAGACCTTGTGCAGCACCTGATCGATCAACACTACTCGTTTCAGATGTAAGTGTTTGCATCAACCAAGGAAGTAAATCTTCGAAGCTTGATTCACCCATTCCTCGTACCATTGCACCTAAAGCTCTTGCAGATACACTACGTACTTCTGGTACGGGATCTAATAAACTCGTTTTCAGGCCAGGAATTATAGTCGGCAAATAGGGAGTTAAATCTTTCTGATCAGTTAAAGAATACATATTTCCAATAATTTGAGCTGCCATCTTTCTTGTTTCTGTTGAACGATCTAAGAACGCTCGTTGTACTACAGGCATAATAAGAGCTAATGATGGAGCATCAATAAAATGTACAAATTGTGTATCTAAAAGAGTTTGAAGACATGTAGCTGTTTTATGAGAAGGATCTTGTAAAGCTTTCAATAAAACTGGTACAATAGCTTGAATTTCTGGATTTCGAATTACACTTCCAATAACCTTAAGAGCTTCTGCACCAGCTTCTTGAACTTTTGTGTGTGAATCACTAAGTACTTCAATGAGCTTTGGAACAATACTTGGAAGACAACTGCTAAGTTGTTTTGGTGCACAATATGCCATTGCACCCAATAATTCGACAGATCCTATAAAGATAAAGAACAATCATTTTTAGAATATACTTGACGTTTTGAACAACATTAACATTTACAAATTTCTTACCAGTTTTGGTCCTCCAAGAGTCTTCTTCTAATGCTGCTAATAAACTAGGTAAAACAAGTTTTACCCCGTGTGCAGACAGTTTACTCATAACTACACGTGCTGTATCATCAGTAGCTGCCCTAACATACTGACTTGTGTCTCCAAAACATAGCAGTAAATGCGGTAACACGTGAACGATGTACGGTTCAAATAGTCTGCCAAGCATCGTGCATAACATTTCAAAAGCGAATAACGCTCCTTCTCGGTGCCTATAATTCTTTTTATCCTGAATGGCATTAGTTAATGTGGTCATAATATCAAGTTGTTTTAGCGCCAGTATTCCCATACCCTTGATTATACCTGCTAAACCATAAGCTGCGCCTTTACGTTCCCCATATTTGTCTGATTTTAACAATTGGTCCATTAATTTGTCCACAATTTTTGGTGCATCTTCCTTGATAGAAGGTACAAGATGTGGTAGACAATTGGCTACTGCTTCTTGTACTTGCTGTGATGGTGTAGAAAGAGCAGCAATCAAACGCATAACTATCGGTTTAATACGTGAATCATCTTTGTCCAAATGTCTTGCTAACGATCCCATAAGAATAACTACCGACTGTTTAATCGAATCGAAGCTACCAATCTTTGGAGCTTTGTCCATAAAGTCTTCAAAAACAGGTAATAAAGAAGTAATATTTGCTTTCCCATGAAGATCGACAACAGCTACAGCAGCAGTTAACATTTCTGTGCGAACGGCTTGATTTCTATCTCCTAACCCAGTTGAAACAAAGAATTGCACAAGTTTAAGTACTGTGTCAGCAGTAAGAAGAGATGCCATTTGAGCCAATGCAAGTGCCACACCTCGTCGTGGACCCCAAGTATCAATAGGCTGTTCGATAACGCGGCCAAAATTGTCTAATTTTGGTGGAATTATAGTTAATTTTGCTTGGTAAAGCTGTAATAATTTGTCCAAGATTATTGGTACTAAGTGGGGAACGTCAGTTAAACATTGCGCCAAAGCACAAGCAGCAGCTTGCTGTACAGGTTCTACAGGATGTGCAATATCTTGAATAAGTTCATCAGCAAGATTATCTGCATGCATTACTAAGTCTGCCATATTCCATAATTCATTAGCAAGGATTTTATTTTCATCATTAACATCATACTTAGCAATCCATATTCTCCTAATGAGATGAGAAAGTTGTTCAGGATCTTCCTTCTGAGATGGAAAGGCTCGTCTTACAACTGTTAAAGCCCTCAATGCTGCATCTCGTATTGTAGACAAAGAATTCTGTAATGCTTTAATTAAAGAGTTTATATCTTCACTAGTTGCTATTGCAGTACCTGATTGACCACTACCAGACTGAGCAACATCTAATAATGTTGCAACTGCATGTGTCTGAACTCTTCCAGTTGTAATTTCCATTAATTCTATTAACAGATCAAACATATGTTTACGCGGTAATAATTGGGGATGCCTCATATCTCTGAAATTAGAAGAATTCCCTCTTTGTTTAGCATGCTCCTGTATTATTTGCAACCCTTGGACAATCATATTATCATCCTTATAAGACAATAAGGTTTTCTTTATAAATGGAAAAATATAGCAAAATGTGGGAGCAGTGAATAATTTCTTTTGTTTTATTGTTGTTGTATGTAAAAGGTTTAAAGTTCTTTTTACCGCAGCATCAAGGCTTTCTTCTTCCCAAGCTTGATTTAAGTCACATTGTGGCTGTAATTGTCGCAATGTAACATGTGCTACTAAATCATTTAAAATTGGATTACCTATTTTCACGATTTGTTTTAAATAGATAAAAAGATCAGACATTGCAGGAGCAGCTAATGGTGATCCTAAGTTTTTCAAAATCGGTGGCAGAAGATCTTTTAAATAAACAGATAATTCTTGATCATTTCCATGCATAGAACACTTAGTCAGAGAAACAGCATTATCTATTCTAAATTTCAATTCGGTCAGTCTTTTACGAATTTCATTTTCTTTTGCCATCTGCGTTTTGAGAATTTCTTCTTGTTTAGGTGTTAGTTTTGGTTCCCTTATTTTTCCTTCCTTTTTTCGTTTTTCATATAATTCTCGTCTAAGTTGTAATTCTTCTTGCTGTTCTTTAAATGAATATACTTTACTCTCTCTTTTCATGTTCATTGAACTAAAAATATCATTTTCATCATTTGCTGGCAATACACTTTTGTCATATAATTCTCCTTCTGGTGTGAGGTAAGTAAAATATTCGCCTTCAGTAACTTTTAAAATTTCTGGATCATCAAGTTTACTTATAACGTTTGATATTATTGCTGGTAATATAATGTCCGGTATAATCGATATCACTCTTGTTACAGCATTTTCATAACTAATATCAGATTTATAATTTTGCACGAGCATCTTCTTTATTTCAATATTAAATGAACATAAAAAATCTTTTGGTACAAGATTAAAATTTTTTGCAATTTTAAACCATAAATTCGGCATAGCTTTAAAGACTGCAGGATGGTGGGCTGGTATCAATGCATCTCTTGTCATTTGCATAGCAGGTAATTCAAACAAAAAGGAGCCTGAACAAATAGCAAGCAATCCATCTGCAAGACATCTACCAGTTATCTCACTAACAGAAGAATCTTCCTTGTTTTCTTTATCAGTTTCGGACTTAATTTTTACATTTTCTAAGAATTTAGTGAATTCTGTTAACAATTCTTGTGCTGGCCCATATGTACTCAAACCAGTTAAAACTTTCTTAATTAATGGAAAACAGCGTTTTCTTGTATTATATTTAGGAGCTGTTGCACATGCTACAATTGCTCTGTGAACACCATTCAAAGTTTTTTCATTCAATCTGTCACTAAATTCTGTAATTAATCTTTCACAAAGTAACATTAAATGATATAAGATATCATCTCCACAACTTGACAAAAATTTTTCTGAAAAGAATATTTGCTCATCAATTGCACTCCACAATATAGATTGCTTGTCATTTTCTACTTGACCAGCAAGGACAAATTTCAGTAGCAAGTAAGAAGCTACTAAACCTTCTGTAACTGCGGCTGATTGTGCAGATTGTTGCATAGCTCTTGTTATTGCTTGTATTAGTAGTGGCGTTACTGTTCCAGAATAGGAAGCCACTGGTGTAGAAAAGAACAGTCTAATATAAGCAGTGCGCACTGCAGCAGTTGACGTCTTAGCGTTCATACCTTTTTCAAATGCATCTATTACGTTTTTTGGGATATTGTTTACAAATTTATTAGTCCATAAGGCCATCATTTCAAGAGCATGTATTAAAGTTTTCTCATGAACTTCAGTTTCCAAAACTTTTATGAAATGTTCACAAGCTATTTCAGCTAATCTTTGAACACTGCTTCCTGAAGTTGCATTGTAACTAAGATTACCAGCACCTTGTAATACAGAAATTTTATGAGTTGCAACAGTAAGTTTTCCTTCTGAACCATGAAATACAGCAAATACACATGACAATAAACTTTCTAAAGCAGTAGCATCTGAACACTGAAGAGCAAGTCTACGGCATGCTCCAACAGCTTCATCTCTAACTAAATCTTCCTTTGAATGCAAATTTGCAAATAATCCTTTACTTATATGTAGACTATATTGACTTAAATCAAGACTTAAACCACTTAAAATATGTCCAACTGATTCAATAATAATTTCTGGATTTCTTAACATAGCCTTTTGTAAAGCTGGCAATAGTTGATTCTTAAATTCATCATAAAAACAGATTTCACAACATATGAATCTGTTATCACATAGATTTACCTTTAATTTCTCCAGCAATTCAGTTTTCTTTGTACTGACTAAATATTTAGTAAGTAAACTAGCAAGAACAATTACACCATTTCCAGATTCCAATTTTGTTAGTGTTTCTAAATATGTAATTTCAATGTCTTTAATATTTGACCATTGGTGTGCTAGTAAAACATATATTTTTTCAGTCAATTTTTTGTCCATGGTTGCCACAGCTGCTGCACTTAAATTTGCTTGTGCTTCAATGAGTTTTGGTAATTCTGAATTGATATCTAAAATAATTTTATGTCCATGTAAAATAATTAGTGTTGACCATTTCAATGCTAGGTATGCAGTTAAAGCTGTATTCAAACTGTAAAATAAAATGTTGATAAGTCTTTGTTAAGCATTTATACATTGTTTAAAGTTAAACACCTTTTTAAATAAATATATTCAGAGAATTATGTATGTTATTACATACGTAGGAACTATATTTTTATGCCACATAGCTTGTTCTACAACAACATTTGTCATGTGTTTAATGGTAGCCTCTGGTTGTTTTTTCAACAATTCCATAATCAAATTTTTCACGTAAGATTGGGAAGCAGTATCCTTATACCGATGTAAAGTAAGAGATATGGTTTTACAAATTCCATTGACAATCTTCTCATTGATGCCTAAAATGTAGAAATAGCACTTATTAAATTTAGTTGCAATTTGGATTCAATATAAAAGAATAAGATGAAAGTATCACTTTGAATAAGCACTATAACAACAGATTGAAAATACTTTTTAAATAACTTTTAGTTTAATTTACAAAACTTTTATTTGTGTTATTATTAAACTTACTACAAAAATTAATATAAAATATAACAATAAATATTATAAATAT